TACTGCGAATGGAGAGTGTATATTGAGTTCCCCAAACAGTCCAATTCATACTGGCAGGGAAAGAAATTTGAGATTTCTCTGATGGAGTCTCAATGGGTATATAAAGTATACATCGTAGGTCTTTCATTTGCATATTTTTATCTTACTAGTCTTACTTGTGTGTTATGATTTCTGATTGTGTGTTTTTATGGATTTTGAATTATACATGTGTTTTATCTGTACATGACATTTGTGCTTTTTCTTAAAAAAATTTTCTTTCTTTCTTTCTTTCTTATAGAATCTATGTATTTCCGACTGTCCTAGATCTCACTATGTAGACCAGGCTGACCTAGAACTCACAAACAGCTTCCTATTCTGACTTCAAATGCTGGAATTAAAGGAGTGAGTCACCATATAGGCTCTTGCTTGTTTTTAAAGAGAGAGAGAATGGAGGTCTGTCATTAGATGAGTCGGGAAATGGGGGGGGGGGGGAATCTGGAAGATGGGGAAGGGGAAACCATGATCAGAATATATTGTACAAAAAATTAATTTTCAGTTGAAAAGAAAATACTTCATAACAAAGGAATGTGCTTTCTTTCCATTATAAATGGAAAACTGAAGAATGAGCAAGACTTCCTCTGTTTCCTGCTGGAAATTCATAGCATGTGCAGGGAATACAGTTTACATAGCTGGGGCAAAGATGTGAGCTGTCTTTGATGCCTCTTGGGTCTTTAGACACAGAGTTGCCAACAGTTTGACTCAGAGTAAGTAATCTAGGCAAGCTCCAGGGTGGAGTGAGAGCACAGCTAGGTATGTAGTTACTTGGTAGCTCAATCTGGTTTGCTTTTAAAATTATTTGTCTTACATCATGGCCACAGTTTTCCCTTCATCCTTTCCTGCCATTCTGGCCCTCCACTGCCCTCCCCCTCCTTCCAATCCACTCCTGGTTCTCTTCAGAAAGGGACAGGCATCCTATAGCCATAGGACAAGGCATGGCATATCAACAAGTCATGGCATGTGCTCTGCAGTAAGACTGCACTTCCCTTTGTATTAAAGCTGGGCAAGGAAACCCAGAATGAGGAATGGATGTCTAAGAGCCTCCAAAGCCTTAGGGACAGTCTCTGATCCCACCCTCATATACATGTAGAGGGCCTAGATCAAGCCCATGCAGGCTCCCTGGATTTTGGTTTAGACTCTGTGAGTGTCCAAGACTCAGGCTAATTTTTTCTATGGGTTTTTTTAAAATTAATTTATTTATTATGTGTACAACATTCTGCTTCCTACACACCAGAAGAGGGTGCCAGATCTCATTACAGATGGTTGTAAGCCATCATGTGGTTGCTGGGAATTGAACTCAGGACCTCTGGAAGAACAGTTAGTGCTCTTAACCTCTGAGCCATCTCTCCAGCCCTATGGGTTTTCTTGTAACTCTTCCAGCTCCTACAATCCTTCCTCCTCTCTTTAGCAGGATTCTTCCTCCTCTCTTTAGCAGGATTTTAATTATGAGTGAATACATGCTGTGTTTTTCTTTCTGGGTCCAGGTCACTTCACTCTGGATTTTTTTTTTTTTTCTAGTTCCATCCATTTGCCTTCAAATTTCCTGATGTCATTTTTTTTAGCAGCCGAGTAATATTCCACTGTGTAAATGTACCACATTTTCTTCATCCATTCTTCAGTTGAGGGGTATCTACATTGTTTCCAGGTTCTGGATATTACCAATCAAGTGTCTTTGTGATAGGATGGAACATCCTTTGTTGACATGTCCAAGAGTGCTAATGGTGAGTCTTGAGGTAGATTGATTCCCAAATTTCTAAGAAACCTCTATTTCTACTTCCAAAGTGACTGTATAAGTTTGTACTGCCACCAGCATAGGAAGAATGTTCCCCTTGCTGGGATTAAAGGTGTGCGCCACCATCGCCTGGCTATGCCCCAGTACTTTCAAGGTTATTTCCCACTTTCTTTTCTTTCAGTTTCAGTGAAACTGGATTTATGTTGAGGTCTTTGCTCTACTTGGTCTTCAGTTTTGTGTAGAGTTATATGAATCGATTTGCATTTTTTTATATGCCCACATCCAGTTATGCCAGCATCATTGGTTGAAGATGTTTTCTTCTCGACTTCTTAGTCAAAAATCCGGTGTCCATAGGTGTCTGGATGTATGTTTGGATCTTCAGTTTGATTCCATTCATCCACCTGTCTGTCTGTTTTCCTGCCATGCTGTTTTGTAACTCTGCAGTACGGCTTGAGATCAGAGATGGTGATACCTCTGGCCGTTCTTTTACTCACAGAATTGTTTGGCTATCCTGGATTTTTTTTTTTCATAGAAGTTGCATATCGTCCTTTCAGGTTTGTAAAGGATTGTGTTGGACTTTTGATGGGGATTGTGTTGAATTTGTAGATTGCTTTTGGTCAGATGGCCTTTTTTTTACTATGTCGATCTTAAAGAAAAAGAAGAAAAGAAGGTCTTTTCTTCCCATCTTCTGATATCTTTTCTAATTTCTTTCTTCAAAGACTTGAAGTTCTTTCAGATCTTCCACTTGCATGGTTTGAGTTATCCCAAGATATGAATCTGTTCCCTTAAGGCCCAAACTTAACCTTTCATTTCAGGCAGGATACACCTAACTGGCTAGAGGAGAGGATTCGATGTGGTTTGAAGTGCTTGGTGATACATAGGAAACACCTGCATCCAACCCGGAGGGAAGAATTTATTAAGAAAACATTAAGCGTGGAGGTTGTAGATTGAGGCCACAGTTTGATTTCACAAAGAACACAAGACCTAGAGCACAGCATGGTGAGCTTGTCCCCTTTCTATTGGGCAAAAAGCAAGGCAGCCCCATTTCTTGTTGTTTTTTTTTCTCTTTTTTTTCAAACATGAAGGGCGGGAGAAAACGTCTCAAAATGGTTCTTTCATGCGCATATAGAACAACACTGCCCCCATGAGGACAGAGTTTCAACAGAGACAGTGCCATTCTAGCTTCCTGCCTCCTAAGAGTAATGTCTGTATGTAGAGGCACGGAGAAGCTGGTATTCAATATTGGACTTCCCTGAATTCCTCTAAGACCCTAGAACTTGTATGCTCATACACACTAGGTGTTATAATTAATGGAGCAGTTACGTTTGCTGTTAGAATACTTTGGTGTTGTTTTCTAGAAGAGCCCTTTTATTGGTCCTGGGTGCATCAAACTGAATAGTAGTAGATGCCTTGAGATTGCTCATTTTCATAGGATTCCTTCATTTTCGTATTTTTCATTATAAAAAGATATTTCTTTTTCTGAGTCCATGTACAAACTGTTTACAATGATCGGTTCAACATGTAGTGAGGGTGTAAATTTGGGACTGCGCAGTGAAAGGTGTTCGTGGGACACTTGTAACATGCCTGATGTCTTGTATTTATTCCTATATGCTTCATAAACAGTGGATTCAACCATAAGGTGAGGAAGGAAGATCAGGAGTTCAAGGTCATGCTAGGCTATATGGGGTCTTTAGTCCACCAGGTTAAAGACCTTTCTCATAAAATGAAACAAAACCTAACCTCATAAGTAGTTTGTAGAAAATAGTTCAATAATGTTGAAGTCTTTATGGGTTGATTTTTTTTTCTTGCTGTTTTTGACAATAAATGTACATTGTTTATGTAGAGTATATATGGAAATCTATTAGTCTATGAGAATTACTGATCTTAAAAATGAGATCCCTTGCAAACCAACCGAAAATGAGATCCCTTGCAAACCAACCGTATCTGCTGTAAGACAGAACAAAGAAGAATCCGTTGTAGAGTCTCAGAGGTAAGATCTGCTGTTAGAGAGGCCTTTGTCTCTAGTCACTGGATTTATTTAACTCCCAGAACATTCTTCTCCCTCTTTATGTGGAATATCTCTTTTGTCTCTTGAGATTTGATGCTGTGGCCAAATAAGCAATATGAGTTCTGGGAAGAAATGTCCAGATGAGTGAAAAGTGCTCTCTAGAGAAAGCAAGGGCACACTTGATTTCTGAGACATGAATGCTCTTTCTGAAAGTGGTAGATTTAGGACACAGTTTGGTTTCAGGTGGAAGAAAAAAAAGATAAGACCCTTCAGCAGTTCTCACTAAAAGGCGAAATGGTGGTGTTTCCTGGTACCTTTTCTCTGGTGATGTTTTCAGGTAGGAAGGGTAGGAAAAGAGAATTAAGGTATTTCTTTTGACCACAGCTGGTGCATTATTGAAAATGCTTAGGATTCTCGAACATTCCTTCCTTCGCAGTACCCACTCTTTTTTTTTCACAGACTGCACACAAGGCCTATTGCATCCATCACAATATGGAGCATGAACAAGTGAGTTGGGCTAAGAAGCAAGTTCCCTGATGCCTAATTTTTCTCTAATCCATGCATTGAGTTAGCAACACTTTCACTTCCCACCTCCAACTGGATGCTGAGATCTGCCCTCAGGACCACAAGAGAATCAAGTATCATGAGAAAGGCCTGGAGATAGAAGTCTGCTGGGTAAAGAGGGGCGAAATGCAGGGCTCCATCATTGACTGCACTCTTCTTTAAAAGAGGAAATGCATGAAGAAGGTGGTGCCCCAGATTGCACTTCAGTTCTCTGCTTTATTTTATTTTCTTTTTTGGTTTTTCGAGACAGGGTTTCTCTGTGGCTTTGGAGCCTGTCCTGGAACTAGCTCTGTAGACCAGGCTGGTCTCGAACTCCCAGAGATCCGCCTGCCTCTGCCTCCTGAGTGCTGGGATTAAAGGCCTGTGCCACCAACGCCTGGCTCTGTTTTATTTTTTCTTCCCTCCTTTGGTGCTAGAGTTCTGGTGTAGGTCCTCATCCACTAGATGTGACATTGGTAGAAAATGCTCATAGAGGCTGAAGTCTAAGAGTAGATCACTTTGAAGAAGGCAGGACTGCTGCTCCACTCTGTCTTTGTAGTGGAGTTTTTTTCCTGACCAGAAAGGTGGGGCGCAGAGAGCTGCCTTGAGGTTTTCTGGCTCCTCTGGGGCATCACTGCCATCATGGGGAAAACATTTCATAAAGAACTGAATACACACTGCTNTTTTATTTATTTATTATGTATACAACATTCTGCTTAACACACACCAGAAGAGGGCACCAGATCTCATTACAGATGGTTGTGAGCCATCATGTGGTTGCTGGGAATTGAACTCATGACCTCTGGAAGAGCAGTCAGTGCTCTTAACCTCTGAGCCATCTCTCCAGCCCGGTCAGGGGGATTCTTAAATGACCAAGCCTGACTCCTACCACTTTTTTTCCCCCTGTGTGCACAGACTGAAATCATGGGACCTTTGCGTTTTTGTGTTTTGTGTTTTAATGGTGGATTCTGATGAGGGAACAGATCTACTATCTGTGGCACTCAGATGAAATTAAAATGGAAGACAAGCCTTCAGTAAATCAAATTTACTCCCTGTGAAGGACTCTGGTTCTGTATTGTAGTTTTTTTCAGACAGGCAAGGCGGGAGTAGAGAGGCTGTATGGATGGTGCCTTTTTTTGCACTGGGACGACAGCGCCATCTCGTGGGTGTAGTTTCATATCTCCTTTGGCATGCATACACTGTTTTCTCAGTGCTGGCGGTTTTTGCAGGTGACGGTTAGGGTGATTCTCAAATGGATGTGCTTGGCCTTCTTTCCATTTTCTATCGCTCTTTTCGTGAAGGCAGACTGAAGTCATAGGGTCCTTCACAGTCTTAATGTAGACCCTAGAGACTGAGGGCCCAGTTGTTAGTGCACAACTGTCCTTTAGCCCAGGAATAGGACGTGGAGGGGCGTGGTTTGCACTGCTTGCTTTACAATAGGAATCTAATAGCTGGTGTCGTAGGGCTGGAAGGTGCTTCCTTCTCTAGGTTCTGGTGAGAAAAACAAAGTCTATTTGTTTTGGGGCCCGAGAAGTCACAGGGGCCCAAGCCGGGCACCCACAGATGTCTGCTGTCGCCATCTTCTGCCATGGCTAAGAATTATGGGACGAAAACTCGCTGGCAAAGTGATATTTGAAACTCCATCCGCGTGATGGCAGTAGAAGTCCATGAAGGAGCTAGTAGGCACTTGACTCCCGCCCTTTTTGTCTGAAAAAAAAAAAAACGTGATCCAGAGACAAAAGCCCCAAAGTAGTTGGCTGCCCTGAGTTCACCCAGCTCTGAGTACTTTATTATTTTATACTGGCCTTTGGACATCAGATTCCACTATGTTGTAGAGGAAAAATCGGCCCTTAAAAAGCCCACATCTAGCAACCTATAAAACCAACATTACCTTCCCGACACACAAGGCAGATTTACAGGCGCGGACACCTGAGTGTGCCAGCTCACACACATGCAACTTTCAGTCCAGTTTCTGCTTGTGAGGAAGAACATTTGGTGTTTCTCTGAGTCTGGCACTTTGCTTTGTGTTGTGACTTGTTCTCTACCCTTTCTTTTTCCATATTTTAGCCGCCATGCACTGTGCAGCACTAAACATGCAAACATCTTTGTAGCAGAGTATCCAAGAGTAAGTCTTACTGTGGCCTGGTGCCTGGTTCTGGCATTTGCTTTCACCTGAAGATATTATTATTGTACTCAAATCTATTAGAAAAGTAGGTAACATTTGATGAAAGTAGAGGAATTTTTTTTTTTTTTTTTTTTTAATTCAGCCTTGGGTGCCTAAAGAGATCTCTCAGTGGTCAGGTGCACTTTTTGCTTTTGCAGAGATTTTAGGCCCAGCACCCACATGGCAGCTCATACTCGTCTGTAAATCCAGTTCCAGGGGCTAAGATCCCCTTTTCTGACTTCCTGGAGTGATGACACTCAATTTGTAGACATACATTCCCAAGGGAAATTGCTGAAATACACAAAACCTTCAACTAAGTCAGCATCCATTGATGCTGTGCTTGTATCTCAGTGGTAGAGTATTTTCCTGGCATAGAGGAAGACACAGATTCCATCCCTAGCACACTCCAAATGGAATTGGAACCAGTCCTTGGCCCCGAGACTACATCCGAGAATATCTAAGAAAGATCCTTAAGATATCTAATAAATGTATGATTTAACATTTTTTAGGATAATCAGGAATTTATTTGCATTTTTACGTCAAGACAAATACTGGGGCTTTGATAATGGTGCTTTCTACCCAGCCTGAACATATAAATTCCATCCCTGGGAATCTAACGGGGGAAGTGAACAGATTCTGCAGGTTATCCTTTTACATCCTATACATCACTCAAACACATAAAATCAACACACAATGTACATCAATTAGGACAGCTTCCAAAGCTGTCCTAAAACTAACCCTTATAGCCCAGGCTGGCCTCGAACTCACTTAGATCGACCTGCCTCTGCTTCCCGAGTGCTGCGATTAAAGGTGTGTGCCACCACTGACTGGCAAATATATTTACTTTAATATATNTCTTTATTATATTAAAATCTACAAATATTTTAAATATATTTACTTAAAAATGTTGCTGCAAAACACTCAGTGTCAATCAAATTACAGCATATACATTATTCTGCAGATGTTTTCAGAGAACCTATGTATAAAAGTACTTGTATGTACATGTAAAGGCAGTGAAACAAGCCTCCCAAAAGTTATCATTTATCTAACAAGGGGTATGGAATAGTGGTATAAAAGAAAAACTTTTTCCTAACACACACATACACACACACACACACGAAAATGAAAGAAGTTGAAATCTGCTTCATCAGTTTCCTCTTGCAGTAGATGGGGCTAATATAGAGACCCATGTGTGGCCAATGTGCAGAAAGTGAGAAACTTTGGAACACTTAGTCCCAAGGCTCAGGGATCTTTGCAGAAGAGGAGGCAATAAGGAAATAAGAGTCAGGGAAAGGGAGACAAGGGACAGTGTCTATCAGATACAGTGAGAGTGATGCATGTTAGAATTCACAGAGGCCAGAGTGACAACGTGCACAGGGCCTATACAGGTTTAAGCTAAAGATGGTCCCAACCTTGAGAGTGGAAAGTGGACCCAGATCTGCATCCCTAAACAAGAAGCTATCTTCAGTTGACACCCACGTGCAAGGGGAAATTTTCATGTGCTCCAGTGGAGTCACGGCAGGCACATAAAAGACATTTGAGGGTAGGCCTCACATCCAGCAGGCAATGGCCATCTCAGAACAAACTCAGTGGGATTGTTGTAGGTTTTTTTCCTTTGGGCATTTATTCCTATTTTCCTTGCATGTTATGGTTTCTGAGTTTGTTTTTAGGATTTGTGTGGATGTCATTTTGTTCTGGTTTGTTTGTGCTTAAGTACTGGGAGGAAATGGAGGGTAAGTGTGATCAAAATATATTGTACGGAAAAATTATTCTCAATTAAATAGAAAGGAAAAAAAATTTTTTTTATCAAAGGAACTCTATTGAGGGGTGTCTATCTCTAGTTAAATTCATAGCATGGGTAGGGACCAAAGATGTGAGCTGCTTGCCTCTTTTCGGTCTTTAGATAGAGTTGCCCACAATTCTACTAGAGTAGCAAGAATGGAGGCCCGCTACAGGGTAGAAGGTGAGCACAGTCATTTGGTGGCTCTTTATTTCACAGAGAATCTACCTAATAGGCTAGATCGCAGAGTTCGATGTTATTTGACATGCTTGGTGATAAGTAGCAGGGAGGTGACAATTTAGTGTAAGACCATGTTCACAGTGGTGATGGTAGGTTGAGGCCACAGTTTGATTTCGCAGAACAGCAGCCCAAAAGCAGAACACTGTCAGCTTGTCTCTCCCAAAAGGATAAAATGTAAGGCAGTCATATTTCTTTGTGTTTTTTTTTTCAAAGCAGAAGGGCGGGAGAAAATGTCTCAAAATGGCGATTTCAGGAGCACCTAGAACAACACTGCCACCACATGGAAAGAGTTTCAACATAGACAGTGCCATTCCCGCTTCTTGCCTTCTCCTCAGAGTAAGGTCTGCAGAGGCATGGCACCTCATTACCTAGGTGCTGATGAGGAAGTTCTATAGTCCGGGGTTTCAGTTACGGCCTGAGGTGAAGGCAAGAAAGCAGTGTCACTATGTGCAGGCAGCTGTTGGTCCTCTCTGGGTGCTACACTCTCCATGTGCTGGTAAGAAAGCTCTCTATTTACTGAGAAACTATTATCAAGTGCACAGCTGTCCTGAGGTCCAAGAGCAGGAAGTGGGGGGCGGGGTTTGCACTGCTCAGCTTGCAATAGGAATCTACTAGCAGGTGTCCTAGGGATGGAAGGCGCCCCATTCTCCAGTTTCTGAAAAAATAGGGGAGAAAACCCTACAGTCCATGATTCTGTAGGGGCCTGAAGAGAAGTCATGGAAACCCAAGTGGGCACCCACAGTTCTAGCTTTCTTTAATCGTCATGCGTGTCCCCCCCCCCCCATGGCTAAGAATCATGGGAAGGAAGCTCATTGGCACTGTGAGTTGTGAAACTCCATCCAAATGATGGCAGTCAAGGTCCGTGAAGGAACTAGTGGGTGCCTGTCTCTCGCCATTCCTAGCTGGGAAAAAAAAAAAAAAGCCACCAAGGGACAAAGGCCCATGAAAACAGGGCTGCCCAGAGTTTTGTCCATCTCTAAGTGCTTTGAAAGCCCTTTGTGTGTGTCTTGTTTTCAACGTTTATTCAAACTGAGACCTAAGAGGTCACAGGACTCTCTCTGTTTCCTTCTTTATACCTCTTTATTCTTACCCATGCCAGATACCTAAGCTGTTCTTAAAATTTTGGTCCCATTAATTTGTTGGAGGTTTTACATAATAAAGTTATGTTAGGAGATTGAGAAGCTAAAAATTATGTTGCCCCATACACTGCAACGAAGATACATGATGGGTTCCTTGCTTACTTAGCATGCCCTAGGTACCTGGGATTTATTTATTATACTGATTTTTGTGAGGCAACTTTCTATTTAGCCAATTTGCTTAATGTGTTTAGGTGTTTCCTCGTGGAATTTTCAGGATGACTTCTGTCTAGTCTTGTCTTCTACAAGTAAAGATACCTTGACGGCTTCCTTTCCAGTGTATCCTTTGCTCTCCTTCAGTTTTCTTATCCCTCGAGGGAAGATTTTTCTAAGAAGAGACAGGCCCCACCTAAGAGGCTGGGACAGGGAATTGGATGTAACCTGGCATGCTCAGTAGGAGGAAACAAACCCACTTACTACTCTGAGGAGGCGATAAAAGATTCAGAGATGCCTGCACCAATATACCTGGCTTTAAATTAAAGAAAGGCCTTTGAAACCTTGTATGGCTTTGAAGAAAACTTCTCACAAATCCATATTGAAAAACATCAGTTAAAAAAAAAATGTTTTTTTTGAGAATGTTCTACTTAAAACTTGGAGTAAACAATTTCATTTTGCAGTTTTTCTCCCTACTTTCCTTGATATCCATGCTTACGTTGACATTAAAACTCTGTGTAACCTCCTAAGGTTTCCCAACAATAAAGGTTTGAGGAGCTATGTATAACATAGTCCAATTTAGATGGAAATTTATTAGATATTCAGTGTTATTTATAGGACAAAAGTCTATAGATCCAACTCTGTGATCTTTCTGAGTGCCTGGATCAGGACGTGGGTTGGTTACCAGGGAATCTGTGAAGTGAATCTGGCAGAGAATCAGCCTTCCTGCTTTCTAGATTGGATTGACCGGCTGCATTTTCTTATTCTACCTAGAACTGGAGCCTAAGATTTAACGTTGAGCACCAGACAGTCCTACCTACACCAGCATAGACACTGGAGGTAGAATGCTGCTGGAGAGGAGGAAACTCAAGGCTTGATCACTGACTGGCCACTGACTGCTTCAAAACAGAGGAGGCCTGAGATGAGAAGGTGGGCACCTTAGCTCTCCATCTCCTTCCCTTTCCCTCCTGCTTCCATCAGTTTCCTGTACTTTCCTTCTTCCCTTCTTTAGTGTTTTGATGGTGGTTTCTGATGAAGGAACAGAGCTACTAGCTATGGTTATAAGATAAAATTAAAATGGAGGCTAAGCTGTCAGTGAATCACTTTTGCTCTCTCTGAAGGAAGGAGAAAGATTGCTGGACTCTGCTTTGGTTTTGCATGTGTGTGTGTACTGTAGTTTTTTCAAATAGGAAAGGCAGAGCAGAGCAATGCATGTTCTTTTCAGTGGTGCAACAGTGCCATCATGTGGAATGTGATTCCTCTTTCCTTGCGCATGTATGCACTGCTTCCTCAAGCCTATTTCCAGCCATATTTGAAAGTGAGGATCAAAACGATTCTCAAATGGCCTAGCCTTGCCTCCTCCCGTTTTCTACTTTTGTCGTGTTGGCATCCTCGAGTCTTGGGTCCTTCAGAGTTTTAATGTTGACCTTAGTGTCCTAATGCCTAGTTACTAGTGCACAGCTGTCCTGAGATACAGAAACAGGACTTGGGGGGGGGCGGGGTTTGCACTGCTCAGATCGCAAATTGAATCTATTAGCTCCTGTCCTAAGGAAGGAAGCCGCCTCCCGCTCCAGGTTCTGGTGAGTAAACTTTACAGTCCATGTTTGTGTTGGTCCCTGAAGAGAAGTCAGGAAACCCGAGTCGAGTCGGCACCTACAGTTTTAGTGTCTGCAGTCGCCATCTTCCGCCATGGCTAACAATCATGGGAAAGAAGCTTAGCTCAGTGGCGCTGTGAGTTGTGAAACTCCATCCTGATGATGGCAGTAGAGCTCCATGGAGGAGCTGGTGCGTGCTGGTCTCCCGCCCTTCCTCTCTGAAAAAACGCCACCCAGAGAAAAAAGGCCCAAAGAAGATGGACGTCTGGAATTTTGTCTAGTTCTAAGAACTTGTGTCTTGTTTTTCTTGTTCAGTCAAAGTGAGACATAAATTTAGCAGTGGAGGATATTTCTTTTTCTTTCTTTTTTGTTTTTTTTTTAATAACATTTCGTTTTTACCCTTGCTGAGACTTAAAGTGCTGTTACATGTTTGGTCCAGTTAATTTGTTGTTGTTTTTGCATAATAAAGTTATGCTGAGAGATTGGGAAGCAAAGAATTATTGTGTTAACTCCTGCGGTGCCATTACACAGCTTGATTTAGGCATTTGAGTTGGTTTTTTGTTTTGTTTTGTTTTTTCCTAGACAGGGTTTCTCAGTAGCATTTGGAGCCTGTCCTGGAATTAGCTCTTGTAGACCATGCTGGCCTGGAATTCACAGATATCCGCCTGCCTCTGGTTTAGGAGTTCTGGGATTAAAGGCATGCTTCACCACCTCCTGTAGGCATTTGAGTTTTATATACTGCTACAAGTGACTGGGTGGGGTAACTAATAAACACACAGTTTATGTCACTGGTCTTTTCCCAATGGCTGATATTGGAAGAAACATCCATGGCAGTAAATCTTATCTATGGGGATAGAAATGTAGAAAAAGAGTCTTAATAGTTATTGAGACCTATTTATATTGCTGTAATAGTTTTATTAATCATTTTACTGAATAATTTTAATGCATGCGAATCAGTTCAATGTTTTCAATGCATTTGAATCAGTTGTAAATTATGAAATGTTTTCAGTGATTTGATGTTGCCTACGTACTTCAGATCCCACAATTTATTAGAGAAAAAATGAACTTTCTAAATCCTGCTCCTAGTACCTTTACAAAATCTGTGTGTTGCATTCACATGTTATGTGTAAATCATCTTTATATACTTCTATAACTCCAAAGTGAGGTATTTATATATATTATATGACATCTAAATAATAATAATAAAATAAATTAAACCCACACAAATTGCATTCTGACCAAACAACCAAAGAGAAAAAGGAACTAGCTAGGCTGTGGTGGTGCTCATCTTTAATCCCAGCACTCCGGAGGCAGAGGCAGGCATATTTCCGTGAGTTCAGGGTCAGCCTGTTCTAAAATGCAAGTTCCAGGGCCACTAGGACTGTTACACAGGGAAATCCTGTCTCAAAAGAAGCAACAAAACTAAACTGAACTAAAAGAAAACAAAACAAAAAGGGAGCTAAAGAAACACAGAAACAGACATGTTTGTACATACCGGAATACCACCAAAAACAAAACTGCAAACCAGTGTGTGTGTATGTGTGTGTGTGTGTGTGTGTGTGTGTGTGTGTGTATGATCTCCCCCCATCAGTTTCCATGTACTTTCCTTCTTCCCTTCTTTGGATTTGTCTTTAGTGTTTTGATGGTGGTTTCTGATGATGGAACAGAGCTACTAGCATTGGCACTCAATGGAAGCTAAGCTGTCAGTGAATCACTTCTTGCTCTCTTTGAAAGAAGAAGGCAGGGTTGCCACAGTTGCTGGACTCTGCTGTTTTTTTTTTTTTTTTTGTATTGTAGTTTTCTTTCAAATAGGAAAGGCGGAGCAGAGCAACAGATGGTTTTTTTCAGTGGGGCAACACTGCCATTATGTGGAAAGTGTTTCAAACATTTACTTGTGCATGCGCACATTGCTTACTCAATGCTATTTCTAGGCCTTTTGAAGTTAGGGTCAGGGAGAGGAGACTCTATTTTTGGCCTCCTACCATTTTCTTCCCTTTTCTGTAGGTAGGCTGAAATCATGATTCATTTTAGAGCCATAATGTAAACTCTATTGACTGAGGGCCCAGTTACTAGTGCACAGATGTCATGAGTTCCAAGAACAGGAAGTGGAGGGGCGGGGTTTGCCCTGCTCAGCTTGCAGTAGGAATCTATTAGCTCTTGTCCTAGGGCAGGAACCCGCCTTCCTCTCCAGGTTCTGGTAAGAAAACTCTACAGTCCATGTTTCTCTTGGGACATGGATAGAAGTCACAGATCCTGAGTCTGTACCTAATGTTGTAGTTGTCTGTAGTCGCCATCTCCTGCCATGGCTAAGAATCATGGGAAGCCTAGCTCAGTGATGCTGTAAGTTGTGAAACTCCATCCTGACGATGGCAGTAGAGCTCCATGGAGGAGTTGGTGAGCAGTTGTCTACCGCCCTTTCTGTCTGAAAAAACGCCACCCAGAGAGACAAAGGTCTCAGAAAAGATGGTTGCCTTGAGCTTTGCCTAGCTCTGTGTCATTTGCAAAGTATTTTGTTTTGATATTTCAAATGAAGCCAAACTGAGGCCTAAACCTAGTAAAGGTAATGGAACTGTTCGACCTCTGTTCTGTAGCACATTTACCTGTCCTTTATAATTGTTTTACAAATCTCCTTTAGTTTATTCTAGGCACCTAGCATTATTTAAATTTTTGTTAGTATTTATTTTCTCTCATTTTTATACAGTAAGCATTGTTCTATGAGGTTTAGAAGCAAAGTTCCTTGAGGTTGGCATGTGCAGGGCAGTGGCTATAAATGATGTGTTGAATGCTTGAGTTCCATGTCCTAGACTAGGGGTGGTGAGGTAGGGAGCTAGTTTTTGTATATGCCATGCAACAGAAAATTACTGATTTCTAATATTGTAAGAAATATCCATGGTAGCTAATTTCACTCATAATATGATTAGAATGATATTGTAGAAAACAATGAGATATAATTATTTTACTTTAATAATGTTATTAATGTTTTACTGAGTGTTTTCTCTCTGTTTGAATCTATATTGGAGGCCAAGACAATTCACCAAAAAATAAAATATGTTCTTAGTGATTTGATGTTGCTTATGGACATCTGATCCCTCTAGTTCCTAGAGAAGTAAAATTAGTCTTTCTAATGACTTTATTGAGTCATCTGCAGGTAAAAACTCATTGTATGTAAGTATTATATCTTAGTAAAACTGTCTTCTATAACTCTTAACTTCAAGCTGGAAGCTCTTTACTTCAAACTTTACAATATTTATAATTAAATAACAATTGCATACACAAATTTAAATCTCGTTTCTGCATATGAGAAAAATAATATCGTTTTTATCTTTCTGAGCTTATTTTATTTAATATTTTTGAGTCTTTCTATTTTTTCAGTTCACGATTTTGTTTCTTTTCATGGCTGATTAAATTTTTGATCATCGTGCAGACTATTTTTTTCATATATTGATGAATATTTATGGTTGTTTCATTTCTTAGCTGTAGGTCATATGCAGTATTTCTTAAACACTGGGTAGATCTGATATTTAAGGGATAAACTAACACATACATACACACACCACAAGTATATGATGATAATTAAAACTAGTTGAACAGGGAGTGAGAAATGGCTCAGTGGTTAAGAGCACTGACTGTTCATCCAGAGGTCCTGAGTTCAATTCCCAGCAACCACATGTTGGCTCACAACAACCTATAATGAGTTCTGGTGCCCTCTTCTTGCCTGCAGGGATACACATAGGCAGATGCTGTGTACATAATTAATAAAAAAAAGTAATTGAACAATGCTTTATAGTAAAGGAATGTTTTTGTTTTAAATGGCGAACTGACGAATAATTGAGGTGTCTCTCCTAGTGGAAATTCCTACCATATGGGGGACCACAGGTTATAATGCATTGACTCACTTGAGCTGTCTCTTTTTCTTCTTAGATCCTTTGACAAAGTTGCCAACAATTCAACACAGACTATGAAAAATAGTGGTGGACTAGAGTGTGGCCTGTGAAGATAACCTGGTAAAAGAGGGGGTGGTTATGCCAACTCGTAGCTAAATCTGATCTTTCAGGACCGAAAGTTCCCTCTTCATTTTAGACAGGATCCAACAATTTGATGAGCTTAAACTGCTCAGTGGAAAGCACATACCTATATAGTAACAGGGTGGAGGTGATTTAAGAATGTATGCATACTGGGGAAGTGGTAGGATACGCCCAAGGTTTATGTTTCTGTAGAACATCCAGGGAGTCAGTTCACAGTAAGGTAAGCTTGTCCTTCAAGTTGGGCAAAATGCATGGCAACTGTATTTCCTGGCGACTTTCTCCTTGGTTGGCATTTTTTTTTCCCACAAGAAGGGTAGGAGAAGAATTCTCAGCAGTGGCTCTGTGAACCTAGGTAGGACTCTACACCACCATGAAAGAATAGTTTCCACGCTGACAGCACCATTCCAGGTTCCTGCCTATTCTTAGGGCAAGGCCTCTCTGAACTGGCCTGGAAGAGGCCTTTTGGGCTTCGAAGAACCGGTGTATGCTAGTATTCTCTAGATATTCCAATTATTGAAGCAGTTACATGTCCTGATTGAATAGTCTGGGGCTATGTTCTACTAAAATCTGAGGCTTTGTCATGACTGCAGCAAAAGAAATGGAAGTAGAGAGTTTTTGAGTGCTTATTTTAATATGATCCTTTCCGTTGTAGTATTTTCCTTTAACAAGCACTTCCTTATTTTTACAAATCTGTACAAGTGTGCTTCTTAAAAGGGGCAACACAGTTTAACGAGTGATAAAAGTGAACTCTTGAAGCTATGGGTAGAGACTTGCCTCACATGCATGAGGCCTTGTGTTTGATACGAGGCACTCCAGAAACAGTGGAGCCAGCACTAGAAGGCCAGCGAAGGAGCACCAGAAGTTTAAGGTCATGCTAGGCTACTTGGGGTCAGCCTGGGCTGAGAAACTCCTTTAAAATAAAGTAATAGAGAAAGGAGTAAAGAATTTAATGGGATTGAAGAGTTCAGTTTATATTTTTGACAATAAGTGCACGTTGATTTCTATGAAGAGTATAAATGGAAATATATCAGCCCATGTTAGGTACGGTAAGGATTACTGAGTCTAGAAAAGGGATCCCTTGCAAACATATCTGTAGTAATAGAGATGCCTTCCTCTTGCCACTGAATTTAGAAATTTCAGAGCATTCTTTTCCTGCTGTGCTTGCAATGTCTCTCTTAATTTTCACAACAGCAAAGCCTAGAACATAAACTTCTGGGCAGAAATACACAGATGAATAGCAAAAAGCCATCTGGTGACGTAAGGCACACTGAATGAAACCTTTTGTTTAGGTGGATTGCCAGAATGTGGGAGCTAGAGCAGTAGGAGCCTGAGTTCTATGTTAGACTCAGGTTGAGTATGTACTATGAGGTATCTTCCAGGTATGTCTGGGTAGTAGGGAGATTCTTTACTATACAAAAGGAGGAAGAAAGAGAAAAACAAAAAAACTATTTCACAACAATCCCTATTGTACTTTTTTCAGACAAGAAGGGCGGGAGCAGAGCAATGCACAACTGTTGCCCTCTTTGTGATGGGGCAACAGTGCCATCATGTGGAATGTGTTAAGTTTATCCTTGCGCAAGCACACACTGCTTCCTCAAGCCTATTTCTAGACATCCTTGAAAGTGAGGGGCAGCATGATTTTCCAATGGCCTAGCCTCGCCTTCACGTAGGCAGACTGGAATCATGGGATCCTTCAGAGACTTAATATAGACCTTAGTGTCCTAGTGCCCAGTTACTAGTGCACAGCTGTCCTTAGGTCCAGGAACAGGAAGTGGAGGGGCGGGGTTTGCACAGCTCAGCTAGCAATAGGAATCTACTAGTGGGTGTCCTAGGACTGGAAGGCGCCCCATTCTCCAGGTTCTGAGAAATAGGTGAGAAAACCCTACAGTCCATGATTCTGTTGGTGTCTGAAGAGAAGTCAGGGAACCCGAGTCAGCACCTACAGTTGTAGTTGTCTGTATTCGCTATCTTCCCCCATGGCTAAGAATCATGGGAAGGAAGCTTAGCTCAGAGGCGCTGTGAGCTGTGAACTCCATCCACATGATGGCAGTAGAGCTCCATGGAGGAGCCGGTGAGCATTTATCTCCCGCCCTTCCTGTCTGAAAAAACGCCATGCAAAGACGCCCCAGAAAAGATGGCTGCTATGAGTTGCCCAGCTCTAAGTACTTTGAGAAGTATTTGTGAGTGTATCTTGTTTTCTGCGTTTAGCCAAATAGAGACCTAAATTTAGCAAAGAACTTAGAACTCATTTTGTTTTGGAGAATATTTCCCATTTCCATCTTTATTCCCCCCCCCCCCCCATTTTCTGCTTTCTAGATACTTTTGGTGTTCCTACAATTATGGTCCCATTTATTTTTTTCAGGTTTTACATACTACGATTATGCTAGGAGATTTGGAATCAAGGGATTATGTTACCCTGTGCAGTGCAACGGAAATAGCTGAGGGGTTCATTCCTTGCACAGCACGCCCTAGGCCACTGACTTTCAATCACTCCCTCTTGGCGTACGGTAACGCATATATAGTATACTACTGGAAATTTACCAGTTCTTAATATTGAGAGATACATTCATGGAAGTAAATTTTATTCATGAGGACGGAATTGTAAAAAAGAATCAATGGTAATAATGAGGTCTTTTAGCAGGGCTTCCTGTGGCATGTGCCTGGTACTGGTGACACAAACCTTTAATCTCAGCACTTGGGAGTCAGAGGCAGGAGGATCTGTGAGTCCTAGGCCAGCCTGTTCTACAGAATGAGTTCTGGGATAGCCAGGACTATACAGAGAACCCCTGTCTCGAAAGACAAAATAACATCAACAAATATGCTGGAATTATTTTATTTATCATTTTACTGAATGTTTTCTATCTTTGCAAATGTTCTATAATAATAATAATTGTTGTTGTTGTCATTATTATTTGGGTTTTGTTTTGAGGCAGGGTTATTCTGTATAAAAGTCCTAAGTGTCCTGGAACTCACCTAGTAGACCAGGCTGCTTTGGAAGTCTCAGTGATCCCCTGGCCTTGGCCTCCCTGGTGCTGGAATTAAAGGCCTGCACCAGACCACCACCACCAACACCATAGCCGGCCTGAGAATCCATTCTTGAGGCCAAGAAAATTAACTAAACATCACATGTTTTCAATGCTTTGATGTTGCCCGTGTAGTTAAGATTCCACATTTTTAAGAGAACATTGCCATTTCTGAAGCCTGATTCTAGTACCTGTGCTCAAGTCTTCATATTATATTCACATTTATTAATGAACTACATAGACTCCTATAACTCCAACATCAGGTAGTTTTATATATTATAGGATCTTATTAGAAAACAAACATCTAAAGAATAGTAATAAAATAAAGCAATGGATTATGACAAAACAAATGAAGAAGAAAAGGAGCTAAAGAAAAACTTACACAGAGACACACATGTGCACACACAAGAATTCCACAAAATCCCAAAACAGGAAGCTATAATATATGAAACAGAATGTGTAATTTTTGGGTGTGTGTGTGTGTTTTAAATGCCCTGAGATTATTATGAGCCAAAGAACCTCCAGATCTGTCATTGAGTTCATTTTGTATTGGCCATCTACTATTAGGCATGGGGCGCATGCCTTAATGTTTGTCTCACCAGTGTGCTTCTGTTGAGGAAAGCTAATTTTGCATTTCCAACTGGCTGTCAATGGAAAACAGTTTTGGGCTTAGGGTTGGAATTGTTTGTCAACTTCTCCTTTCAGCTCCAGGACCCCATCTTGAGCAGTCCCATGTAGGCCTTGTGCATGCTGTCTCAGTGTCTGAGTTGATATGTGTTGTAGCCATGTTGTGCCCAGAAGGCCTTAGTGGCATCCTCCATCCCCTCTGACTCTTAAACCACTCTATCCATCTTCTCTCCTGAGAGCTCCTGAGCCCTGGGGGTGGGGTGGGGAAGATTTCATGAAGAGTTTGTTCTTTTTTTCCTTCCTTCCTTCCTTCCTTCCTTCCTTCCTTCCTTCCTTCCTTCCTTCCTTCTTAAGGTTGAGTATTTTAAAGTTTGTTACTTTCTGCATATTGTATGACTGTTGGTCTCTGTTTTTTTTTGTTCACATATGCTACAGGAAGAAGTTACTCTGAGGGGCTGGAAAGATGGCTCAGAGGTTAGGAGCACTGGCTGTTCTTCCAGAGGTCGTGAGTTCAATTCCCAGCAACCACATAATGGCTCACAACCATCTGAAATGAGGTCTGGTGTCCTCTTCTGGCATAGAGGTATACATGCAGGAGTAATATTGTATGCATAATAAATAAATCTTTTTTTAAAAAAAGAAGTTACTCTGTTGACTGAGTAAGGTCATGATCTTCAGTTATCTTATCCCTCAAGGGTAGAATTTGTAAGGAGAGACAGGCCCCACCCAAGAGGCTTGGACAGGGAATTGATGTAACCTGGCATGCTCAGTGGAGGAAACAAATCCACTTACTACTTTGAGGGGACAACTTAACTTAAGAAAAGATTCAGAGATGCCTGCACCAACAGACCTGGCTTTAAATTAAAGAAAGGCCTTTCAAACTTTGTATAGTTTTGAAGAAAACTTCTCACAAATTCATACTGAATAATACTTAAAGTAGTGCACAATTTCATTTGGCAAATTTTGTTCCTACTTTCCTTGTTATCCATGCTTACATTGACATTAAAACTGCGTGTTAATGTCACCTCAAATTCTCCCAAAAAGAAAGGTATGAGGAGCAATGGATAACATGGTTCAATTTGGACAGAAGTTTATTAGATATTTAGTGTGATTTATAGGACAAAAGTTTATAGGTACAGCCCTGTGATCCCTCTGGGTGGAATTTATACTTTGCATCTTCCCTTCTTAAGATTTTTGTCTTTTGTGCTTTGATGGTGGGTTCCTGTGAAGGTCTAGAGCTGCCAATTGTGACATTAACAGAAAATTAGGAAATTAAAATGGAAGCTAAGCTCTCAATAAATCACTTCTCCCTTTTAAAGAAGTTCTGCC